GACGATACGTGGCAGCCCTATATATATACACACATACACACGCTTAGAAAAAAATTAAAGACGATTAAAGGTAACGTTAATTAGCTATTAATTTCTTCCTTTAAACTCATATTGCATTAATTCACGCAGAGAAATCATTGTTACCTAGCAAAGATCTAGAGTGGTACTTCTTCAGCCATCGAGATCGGAAGTACCCAAATGGGTCAAGGACTAACAGAGCGACTCAGGGTGGATACTGGAAAGCCACAGGAAAAGACAGGAAGGTTAACGCGCAGAGACGGCCTACGGGCACGAAGAAAACCCTGGTTTACCACAGAGGACGTGCACCGCATGGGTCAAGAACGGATTGGGTGATGCACGAGTACAGACTCGACGAAAAGGAATGTGAAACTCCCAGCTCTGGTTTGCAGGTAAACCTTATGTTTGAGACTGCCTGCCCGCTTAAATTTTGTCAGATAACCCCTTAACTAACGGATTTGGATCCTCTCTACTACAAAAAAATAAAATAGTGAAGATACCACTACTTTTAATCTCAATCGTTGATTACTTAGTAGACGGTCATGATACAATCTAAATCTAATACTCATCATAGCCTCGTGTATTGCACTCATTCCTAATTTGCACTCAAAGAACAAATCACAACCACCAACTTGATAATTAATGGTTGTGATTATGTAGTGATCCATCTACTACTTTTTAGATAGTGGAGAGGATCCGAATCCTTAACTAACACCGTTTAGATCCAACTATATATGCACGTGAAATCACATGCATCGAAATTAAATACCCCTGATGGAAAACTCATTTCATGCACCTTTTAATATTTTTAAAGGTTATTCTCGCAAAACTCACTTAAGTAATTTGGTCTAATTTTGACAAAAATGCTCCTGATTAATTTAATTTAATAATTAGCATGTTAATTTAGAATTAACATTGTTAGCCTTTTTACTGGTCATGAAGCATCGTTAGTGGTTAGTTCAAAATTGAAAACGTTTTTAATTTCCTTTCATTTTGTTTGTTCTTTTTTTTTTTTTTTTTTGGGGGGGGGGGCGGGGTTTTTTTTTTTTTTTTTTTTTTTTTTTGAGGGGGGTGGGCGGTGTTTGCTAATACCTCTCAGTATTAAGTTCGACGATGAAAACATATACGTATTCTTCTTTTTCCACTTTTAAAATTATATATATGATTAATACGTGGAAATTTTATTTTCAGGATGCTTATGCATTATGTCGGGTGTTCAAAAAGAGCGCACCAGGTCCTAAGATCATAGAACATTATGGTGTACAATCTCAATTGCATCCCCAATGGACGACAATTAATGATCATCCGTCTACCGTTGAGATCCCTCGTGATGGAAGAGGAGATGAATTTGAGAGCCGTCCCTATCCATTTCAGCCAGAGTCTTGTTCTTCAGGCGTTATGCAGGGAACTGCTTACAATAGTTCACCCGCAACATTAGATCATGGGAAGTGGATGCAGTTTCTAGCAGAAGAGGCATTTAACGCGACGAATAATGTGCCATTTCACAATTCTTCAAGCTCCTCATCATATGTGCCGTCTAAGGTAAGTTCTCTCATCAAGATAATATTGAAGATTATCTTGGTCATGCTAGATATATAGACTATTTATTTTTCTTATACATTCATTTCAATGAAATGAATATGTGAGAATAAATTAAATTGGGAAGTAACTAGACTGGTTATTTCGTATTAGCTGAAAATAGACAATACAGAAATTTTCATTATGCTTCTGACTTTAAATATTTAAGGTATATTTATAATGTGGACTTGGTGATACATTTATGCATGTTCATACCAGAAGCTGAAAACCTATATATGGACAAACCTAAAAGCACTTGAACTAAAGAGACATTGTTAAAAATTGTTTCAAAGATTAAATGTATTAAAATGGTGACAACTCCATATTCAAGATGTCCTTGAAAATTACTTTACTCAGATTTCAGGCCCTTTTTTATTTATTTATCAGGCTCTTTCATGATGCAGGTGGATGTGGCATTAGAGTGTGAAAGGCTTCAGCATAGGTTCTCCATGCCTGCACTCCAGTTGGAAGACTTCCCCCAATTCGATATACAGGACTCGAAACTTTTGGATTTAGGCTTCAGTACTCAACTGAATACCAATGAAGTCGAGATCAACGAGCTCGTCAACAGCTCAATTAGTTATCCAGACACTATGTGGGTAGCGAATATGAATCCCAAATTTGAAACCTATGCCTCTCTAGTAGAGCCAAGACATGAAAAAGTAAGTTCAGTGGAGATCAGTGATTTGGATGAGGAGTTTAAGGAAGATAAGAGGAGAGTGGAGAACTTAAGGTCAGTGAAAACTTTGGACACTGTTATCTTGCAGGTAAGATTGAATGCTACTCTATAGTTGTACTACTTTTAATTTAAAAAAAAATGTTTTGATTCTTAGAAACTAACTTCGTTTTAATTTAAAAAATGTTTTTGATTCTTAGAAACTAACTTTATTGAAATGGTTTTGAAATGTTGTACTAATTTTAATCTAAAAAAATATTTTTGATTCTTAGAAACTAACTTTATTTTTTGAAATGAACTTAAATCCGTTGATCAGATAAATTTACAAGGAGAGCATAATGCTATGGCGAATAACATTCCAATTAACCGTCAAATAGGGGTGTCAACCAATGATGATCAAGGTATACATTTCCAGACACACAAATATTCTTTTACGTAGGGTTAATTACACATAGACCCCCTGTAGTATTGCTATTTTAAGTCACTATCTTGTCGTTTCATTGTTGCGGATAGAACCCCTAGATTAAAAAAAAAAAAATCTGTTATCCTTGGTGAAAATTTGACAACTATTACCCGGCCCAGAATGCAATTAGTAAGTCTGCCTGAGGTTAAAAAAAAAGTCAAGAAAAATGACCCACGGGTCTATCTGCAACAATGAAACTACAATGGTAGGAAGTTCAAATCAACGATACTGCGAGGGGTCTTTACGTGCAATTAACCCTTTTATGCATTTACATTTATCTGGACCAAAGAATTCACTCGAACCTAGATTGCAGGAGTAACCAGTTATCGACTGAACAACTCTACTGATCTCGGCGACAACTATACTGAACAGATCTACCGTCAATCTCAAGAAGACAAGTTCCCTCTAGGATTCATCAACATACACCAAGAAGGAGTTTACCAAGATAATCAACTGGCGGACACACCAAATCTTGATGTCTATGAGAATATCAAATTCAATCATGGATTATTCATGTCGAGCAGTGGGGAGGTAGCCGAAACATTCTTTCATCATGTTGAGCCATCAAAGAAGATCATTGTGCATCTGAATCAGGCCACCGTGGTTGACAGATCAGAAGAAGTTAGAGATAAGGTCTCTTTCTTTGGTAGGTTGAAAGTAGGGATCAAGAAATCCTTGAAGCATTGCAATGATTCCTTTTTAGGAAATGGGATACTAGTGTTGCTTCATGTGATATCAATTGCGTTAGCTTCATGTGTTTATCCATGAGAGGAATCAAAGGAGGATATAAATTGAGGAAGAAGATAAAGAAATTGGGAAGAAATAAATGGGGTAATCATGAGAAAAAACAATTGATTCCCCATTTATAAGTAGAGGGGAAGGCTTACCCACATGTTTTTGAATGGGAGTTGGCCTTAATTAGTAACATAATATAACCTACTTATCTGTAATCCTACAAATTTATGTATATTGTAAGATATAGAGGTCTACTAGATTTTCATTTGATTACAAATATAGTAAACCTGTAACTGTATTTTCAAGAAACAAAATGATTGTATTGCTCCGGCAAAATGCGGGGGCTTATAACAATTCACTGATGTGTACACTCTTTTCCGGGAAGAGGGAAAGAAAAAAATTTCTTTGATGGTGCATACTAACTGCAGGAAGTATTTACATTGAAGTATGCATCTTACTCTTCCAATGTGTTAAATCTTTTGGTGATTGCTCTGGTCTAGAGACTAATCCTACAAAATGTTCTATCTTTTATGGTGGGGTTTCTAAAGATACTAAGCAAGTGATTAACAATTCCCTATACTTCTGTGAAGGTAAACTGCCAATCAGATATCTAGGCCTTCCCCTTATTTGCAAAAGAATGTCTTACATTGACTGCAATCCTCTACTCTTGAAAATATCCAATCAATTCCATAGTTGTATGAAAAATAAAAATCTGCCTTATGCTGGAAGAATTCAGATTATCAAGAGTGTCATTTTGGGAGTGTAAATTTTCTGGACATCTAGCTACATCCTTCCAGTTAAAGTGCTACAAAAGATTGATGAGTTATGTAGGTGCTTCCTATGGGGTAAATCAGATCAAATTTTCAAATCATCACTTGTATCATGGAGTAAAGTTTGTGTGCTAAGGAAGAATGGAGGATTAGGAATCTTCTCAGCTAGGCTTTGGAACACTGCTGCAGCTCTTAAAATCCTTTGGAGTATTCACATGAATAAGGAACAATTATGGATTAAATGGTCCCATGAGAACTACCTAAAAAACAACAACATATGACAGGTAAATGCTAAGAAGGGGGATTCTTGGATGTGGAAACAACTATTGAAAATCAGAGATAAATGCCTTGTTTTATGTGGAGGGATTGAAAACCTTAAACAACTTATAAATTCTTGCTGTGTCAATTCCAATGTCCAGATTTCTGGTCTCTATTCCAGTTTATCACCTGGTACAACTCATGTGGCATGGCATGACACTGTGTGGGAAAATTTGAGCAATCCTAAATACTCTTTTATCCTGTGGCTGGCAGTCAATAACAAACTTCAAACTCAAGACAGACTTCTCAAACATGAGATTATTCAAGCTTCTGTTTGTAAACTATGTGATGGTTCTTCAGAGAGCAGAAATCACCTCTTTTTTGAGTGAAAATTATCAAAATTTGTGTGGAATGGTATTATGGAGTGGCTCAATTTCAAATGGAGATCTTGTGATTGTTCTGCCCTATTGAATTGGTACAGTTTCAGACTGAGGGGCAAAGGAATTAAGCAAAAAATTAAAAAGATGCCGTTGGCTGCTGCAGTATATAACATTTGGAGAGAGAGGAATAACAAGATTTTTAAGTTGAAGAATAGAGCTCCTGATGTTTTAATCAAGAATATAAAGATGGACATCCTCATTGCTTTTCTGAATGGTTCCCCTTCGGCTGAAGATAGGGAATGGATTCTCTCCTTGTAATGCTGAGGAAAGTATCCATTGTAGAGGCAAAGAAGGTGCACTAACAGTGTAGACATACTGTGCATAATATGTGCAGGTTTTTGTTTTACGGTTGTAATATGATGAAGATAAAGTTCTTTTTTACTCCTTGAGGAGTTTTTTGTTTAGCTGAGCTCTGTTTTTTTTTTGTCAATGAATTCAATTTTATTCATTTCCCAAATGTGAAAAAATTTAAGTACATCAAAACATCCAGACCATAGTCTGGGAATCAACTAGTAAGAGAAATTACAATCTCTCAATTTTCTCTTTTATGTATACAGGAATTTTGTCATTCAAGACTTTTGAAAGTATAGAGATCTTGATATTGTGAAATAGGACTGCAGGAGTTCTAGACTTTTGCTGAAAGATCCGTTGATTCCTCTCAATCCAAATCGCATACACTATAGCAGATAAAGCTAGCCTCTTCAATTTCTTCATGAACCTCTTTCCCCTTAGCCTGTTGCTGTACCAATCGATGATACTTTCCCAACTACATGACCTTCATTTGTATTCCAGCCAGTTCATCATATTGTTCCACACCTCAACAGAATATTGACATTCAAATAGGAGATGCTGACAGGTTTCATTGCGTTGATTTGAACACAAGACACATACATTTGTGTCCAGTATTCCCAAATGACATAACCTGTCCAGTATTCCCAAAGTAAAAAAGAGTGCTTGGGGAAGTTCCAATTGTCCCAGACAGTGTCTGGCCAGTGCACCTTAGGAGTATGCTGTGCAATTTCTTTGTAAATAGAGGATATTATGACTTTGACCCCAAAACAGCATTTATTGATTGCATTATGTAGATTATAAACATTCCCAAACTTACTTATGAGAGTATCTCTCACCTTGAGAAGTTGTTTCCACATCCATGAGTTGTTCACCTCACTTGAACTTGCCAGATATTATATTGTTTCAGATAATTTTTATGAACCCATTTTATCCATAACAAATCTTTCTTTAAATGTATCAACCATAGAAGCTTAGTAGCAGCTGCAAGATTCCAGTTCCTTGCCGAAAACACTCCAAGTCCTCCCTGTTTTTTATTTTTACAGATAGTCTCCCATGACACAAGATGCATTTTATGATTCCAAAGGAACTTAGAACATAAACTGTCAATTTTCTCTAGGATTTTCATAGGTAGGATGTAGTTGCTTGTCCAGAATATTTGAACTCCCAAGATAAAAGATTTAATCAGCTGCAATCTTCCAGCATAAGAAAGGTTTTTGCTCTTCTGCCATCTTTGAAATTGATCAGTGATTTTATTGATCAGAGGGGAACATTCCAGAGAGGATAATCTTTTAGAGATTAAAGGTATTCCCAAGTATCTTACTGGTAATACCCCCTCAGGAAAATTCAAAAGAGTGCAAATCTGCTGCTTCAAACTTTCATCAATGCCACTAAAATATACATAGCATTTGTTTGGGTTAACTTCTAATCCAGAAACTTGACTGAACTCCTGAATACATTCATATAGCTTTGCAATAGAGTAGATGTCAGCTTTTCCAAATAGAAGCAAATCATCAGCAAAGAAGAGGTGAGTGATATTTAACTTGGAGCATTTGGGATGATATTTAAATAGACTGTCATTTTTAAGAGTGTTTAACCTTCTTGACAGATACTCCATTCCAAGAACAAAAAGATAAGGAGAGAGGGGATCTCCTTGTCTCAGGCCTCTAGCACCCCTAAAATATCCATGAAGTGTTCCATTCAAAGATAGAGAAAACTTAGTAGAGGTAATGCACTCCATGATCCACATGATCATTCTATTAGGAAACCCCAACCCAGATAGCATAGATTCAATGAAACTCCAGCTAATAGTATCAAATGCTTTCCTTAGATCAATGTTGAGAGTAGCTCTAGGTGAGGTCTGTTTTCTGCCATAATGCTTTACAAGTTCATGTGCCAATAATATGTTGCTGGAGATACTTCTACCTCTGACAAAAGCACTTTACCCTTCACCAATCAACAAACCCAAAACTTCTTGAATTCTGCGAGCGATAATTTTTGAAATTATTTTATATACACAGTTGCAGCAAGAAATTGGCCTAAAGTCTGAAGGTGTTTTAGGATTGTGTATCTTTGGCACCAATGTAATAGATGTAGAATTGAAAACTCCAAGAAGTTTATTAGACTTGAAGAATTCCTCAACAGCTAGATAAACATCTTCACTAATGATTTCCCAAGCAGCTTTGAAAAAGGAGGCATTATAACCGTCAGGTCCTGGGGCTCTTTCACTTGACATAGAGAAAACTGCATTTTTGATCTCCTTTCTAGAGACTGGAAGAACCAGGGAACTACTTTGAGCTGGAGATAAAACTGGTCCACTAGAAATTACTCCAGGGTCAGGAGTAGAGGTATGAGTAGCAACACCTAGAAGCCTTTTGTAATATTCAGCGAATTCTGTAGCAATATCAGATATGTCTGTGATCCTTTCACCATTCTCAGTATATAATGACAACACTCTGTTATGGTGCCTCTTAGCTTTCATTATGGAATGGAAAAATTGGGAATATTTATCACCATATAAATCCCATCTGATATTAGTTTTTTGTTTCTAGAAAGAAGTTTCACAATCAATTAGTCTGGTGTATTTTCTTAAGCACTCCTCCTTTGATATCAGCATTTGATTGAAAGGATCATTGTTCATGTGATTTTGAGTATCAGTGAGTTCACATTTAGCTCTTATCACCTGCTCACTAATATTCATAAAATGCTTCTTGTTTAAAACTTTCAGATTCTGCTTGAGCTTCCTAAGCTTTGTATGAAGCTTATACATGTGAAAACCTCTGACATCTTGTTCCTAAACAGTCTTGACAACAGAGGTAAAATCAGGATGATTTATCCACATACTAAAAAAATTGAATGGTCTTTTACCTTTAAAGTCATCTTCTCCAATTGTTATGAGAGCAGGGGAATGATCAGAGCAGTTTGGAACCAGGTAATCCACTTGACTGGAGGTGTAAGACTGGATCCATTCTTCATTTATTAATACTCTATCTAGTCTGCTCCAAATTCTAGAATCAGCCCCTTGTTTGTTGTTCCATGTGAAAAAACAGCCAGTAGTCTTCAAATGAGTCAATTGACATGTAGAAATAAAATTTATGAAGTCTTCATTATCATAGTCAGAGACAAGAGTACCCCCTAACTTTTCCTCATTGCTGATTATTGCATTAAAATCACCCCCAATGATCCAGGGACATGTAACATTTTGCTTGAAAGAAAGTAAATCATGCCAAAGCTCCTTTCTATCTTCCAGATTATTCATTGCATAAACCACAGTAATAATGCATGATAGCTTGCCATCCTTGGAATTGACATAACATGATATGAACTGATCAGAAGATGATATACAATGAATAGAGAGCATGTCATTATCCCACAGAATCCAAATTCTTCCCTTATTTGATTGCTGAGAGTTAGAGTACCAATTCCAATTTTTAACCATTCTCCTTGCAATCCATTGCATTTTATTGCCTGCAACTTTAGTTTCTAAAAGAGCTATGAAAGAAAGATGGAAATCATGAACAAATTGCTTAACAATCATATGTTTTGAGGATTTATTCAATCCTCTAATGTTCCAAATGGCAAGTTGCATTA